GTGGGATTGGGGCTGCGGCGTACACAGGGGGTCTACTCTCCAAACCACCAAAATCTGACAGGTTCCATTTTGCTCCTGCCTTTAATGCGAGTAGGTATTGGACATCTTGACTACTTTTAAGACTGGTATAATCAACATCCATCACCTTTGCATCTATAAAAAGCGCTTTTTGTGGCATTTCAATAATTTCCTTTTAGACCGAATGGCGTGATCGGCTCTCTGACTGCCAACATTTTTTTTTTGCTTTGTCTTTTTTTGCAAGAGATTTCCCATCCTTTTTCTAGATTTCTCTGTTGTCGCACCGCGTTTGTCTTGATATCTTTCTACAAGATTTTTTCAACCAACTAGCATTTGTTGTTTGGCTATTGTCTACTAACGCGTCTAGATACGCTGTGTCAAGTTCACTAGAATGCTTCTTTTTTGCTTATCCTGTGGATAACGTTTACTCAATTTTTTAGGCGCGGCATTGATTTGTTTTCACGTTTTTCCACTTCTCGTTGTGTCGTGGCGCACTATGCGTGCAATAAATAAATAAAATGAATAAATAAAAGTTGACTGATGAAAGTACCTTGTCGGCGAAGGCAAAAGACCACTTTTGACGTCTTGCCGTTCCAACATTCTTCGCACAGCACTACCAAGCGTACCATTGGCAGCACCTAGAAATTACCCCAAACGTTTCAGATCTGACTGCCAAAAAACAATTATTATCTTACCAAAAATAGGAATGCCACGAGATATGACAATTCGGTCGTCATCTCTGGAAAATACAAGGAAATGACATGTGTGCATATGCATTCACCAATGGGATTACCTTCGAGATGAAGCATCCTCTATAAGAGCTATAATAAAATTATACAAATCCTCCGGATTAGGTGATACTACAGCAGGATCATCGCTCTGAAGATTCTCAAATTATGAAAAATACGATAAAAGAAAAGAGAAAAAACGCATACTTCTCCAATTGTCAGCTTATTTAATAAACTAGAATATTGCACAAAGAGAAGTTCTGTTGATTTGATCAACTTCAGTGCCTCAACGTAATCATCTCTGCAAAAGGAGAGATTCAAAAACGTGAAAAGCAACTGGAAGAATATGAATTTTCACCTGAGGCCACTCCTATTCGCGCGATGGACAGCATTAGCCAGTAGCTCCTCATCCACAAGACTCTGGACGCATTTTGCTAAGAAAGACAACTTTAGCAGCTACAGTATAGGCAGAAAACTCACTTTTTTCAATAATCTGTTCGACAGCACATGTGAAGATGACAGGTCGGAGAAATTCTACCATTTGCTGGACAGTGGCATTCTCCAGCAATGACAAAATCTGAATAAAAATTTGTGAAAGCGGAAAGTGCAGCACCAATGGGCTGATCTAAACCTTAGCCCACAAGGGTATAAAAATGTGCAAACTTGATTTTTCTTGCAAATGATCATTATGTTTTGAAAATTTTTTAAAAAACCAAATTAGCTTCCTAGAAGAGATTTCTTCCGCTGTTATACTTCAAAATCTTGGTAATCATACAAAAAAAATTTCAAGAAGAGATTTTGCCCCTTAGAGGCAGTGTCCCCTCAAAAAATCGCTTTCCGGTTTTTTCCCCTTCGGAGCCTTCTCGCCATTCTGAAGCCATATCTGGGCTT